CTCTTACATACTACTTTTTCTCCTTAAAATTCGATCTTTAAGACAAATGAGCTTCCTAAGAGTTTTTAAGGTACTTTCCTTTTTATTTTATGAAGTAAGCTATACTTTCTTTTTTAAATTATATTTTGTATTGAAGTATAGTTGATTTACAATGTTAGTTTCAGGTGTACAGCAAAGTGATTCAGTTACACATATACACATACATATGTATTTTCTTTTCAGATTCTTTTCCATTATATCTTATTATAAGAAATTGAATACAGTTCCCTGTGCTGTACAGTAGGCCCTTGTTTGTCTGTTCTATGAAATAAACTGTACTTTCAATGATTCAGAAATTATACCAATGAGCATGCCATATTCTTTTAAGAATAAATACTGCAGACCTTACAGTGGTTATTTTTAAAAATGGGTTTTTAAAGTGTCCAGATCAGTTTGTAAACTTTGCATCAATTTCCTCAATTTCCTCACTGCCAACATGCTCCAGGTTAAAATATTGTTCAAAATGAGGAAAAACCTTTTTGTTCCTTTTCCTTTTATTTTTAAAGCTAATCCATTTAGTATTTTCAAAGACAACCAGTTCTTCCCCAAGGCTCGATCATATGGCTCTACTTTACCCCCCGAGGAATGTTGCATTTAGCAAGGCACAATCAACTTGAGATAATGTGGTTAGCTAGAAATCTCCAGGCTCCTGAATCACCACCTTACCTCAGACTCATCTGTAGATTCCTCGAGAGACCCGGTTTCCTACAAAGCATAGAGAAAAACTGTCAGAATCCATGACACAAGAAGAAAAAATATCTTCAAGGAAAAAGAGTCCTCATGTCCCCACCACCAGAACCCATTTGTCCTTTTTGGAGGTAACTGGCAACTACACTTTAAAGAAATCCACACGGTCCAACTCCTGTAGGCTCCTACAACTTCTCCACACCCTGCAGGGCTGAGATGGCCACTCTTGGGCCACAGGGACCCACTGCTCCTGCTGACCTCGCTCGAGGAGTCAGCAGGTTAACAAATGACCCCAGGAACTTGTCATGTGAGTACACGGAAGGCTTTTCCGTTACAAAAGACGGAAATCCGTCTGGCAAAGCAGCCTTACTGATCTCAGAAGGAAAGAGGAAAATACCGTCTCAAATTATCTCTGAGCCAGTGTTTATACTGCAAAGCTCTTGTGCTCTTAATTATTAATCTGGCTGAGTCAAAACGATCGTCTGGTTTAAACAGCTTTTACAAAAGAATTCCCCCTAGGGTGGTACCTATCAGGCACCCTGCAAAGGAGCGGTGTAATTTACATCCCCTCTTTAAACCATTAACCGGAAGACAAATTCTGCCATTTAACACAGTTCCCCTCTTGCTAGAGGATGAATCTTGCTGCTCTGGAGAAAACAAAGGAAAAAGGGGGAGGGAAAAAAATGGACTTGATCCTGCTAATCTCTCACCTGTCCACTGAAAGAGAGAATCTGCTGATGCCATGCATCCTCAAAGAGGTCAGCAAAATGAAGATTTACTTAACGTGCCTATAGATAGCAACAGCAATAAAAGGTTACAACTAATGTGCTGACACCCAATGGGGGCATTCGGCATTCTGTAACAATCCACCAGATGGGAAAAAAAAACAAACAATGGGGCAAGGACATTTTAGATACAACTAATATTTTTTCAGGACAAAAAACATGGAACATTGTTAAGAAAGCTGGGTGCTTGTATCACCCAATGCACAAAATGTACATTGGATTGCAGGATGAACACAAATCGGGTGTTTGAAAATATGTTAATTTCATGCCTCGAAAATCAGAGAGGGGAGAAATTAAAAACTCAGGCTGCTTCCAGAACAGCCTTGTGGATAACAGTCACTGCTCTCAAAGTTCATCGATAAAATGGGCATGTTACTTGTAACCAAGAATTTTATTATAGTTAAGTCATTAGCCACGATGAATATGAGGATCTCCTCTCCATCCCAAGGCAGCATGTTTAGTTTCACGGTAATCTAAGTATTAGAAAGTCTTTATTCATGTGGAGCTACAATATCTCCATGATAACTTTTTGTCCTTAGCCCTAATACGACCCCTAAAAAATCCAATTCTACTGCTTGACAGTTCTCCAAATAGTTAATGAAATGTAACATGCCAACCCTTCTAAATTGCGCTAACCATCCCCAGTTCCTGGTTTTGTCCATCTACCAACCTGATCTATCTATTTTGGACACGGACGCAGTCTGCTTAATACTAATAGTCACTATTCCGACGTCTTTACCGGACGTCTATTATGTATTTCTCATGACGCTAAACGTTTTACACGGAGCATCCTGATATTTCCCAAAGATCTGTGAGGAAAAACACTGAGGCTTAGAGGTTGAACTTCAATGACTTCTAGCATCCCTTCCGTCCCTGATAGCTCCTGCACTTTAAGTTATTAGCTCAACGAAACAAGGCTTTGCCCACTGAGCCACTAAGCCACAGCTAGATTCCTAGTTCCTCCTACCTCTCAAACTCTACAAGAACACTTGACTATTCTTTTCAAAAAATTACATTAAATCTAAGGAAAAATTTTTCCTACACTGGAATCCATTCACATAGGCACATGGTGGATAAGGGCAAATGTCCCACTTGCATGCTTCATTAAAACAAAAATGTTAAGTCTCCCCCTAGCAATTTCAATCCAAAAACTCAAAACCAAATCACACTTGCGTTCCCCACCAAAAACCATGCAGCGGCAGAATCTGATACCTCACGGCATGCACATCTCAGAAACCTGGGACTCCCAGAAAAACCAGGATCTCGGAGCAGCCTCCTGTGGCTACTGGTATCAATCGAGAACTTTCACTCCAGGACATGCTGAGACTTACCCTCAGGACCTCCCAAGCCCAGTTGTGGCCTCAAAAAAATTACACTTCTTTCCACAAAGCTACCAAAGCAATGAATGCATGGCTACCTCCAGGAATGAGCCTGGTCTCTTACCTTTTAACATCATTCACTCATCAAGCCCCTCTAGTGACGTCAGCCTCCAGCCAACCAA